CGATTTCGCGTCGGAAGCGAAGAGAAAACTGGGTGTCGTCAGACTTTGGGTAACGAGGTCTAGGAACGTCCGCACACTCCAGCAATAACTGTCAAGAGAACGTTATGCAAATGTAGGCGTTCGGTTAAATACGCTAATTTTGAGACCGAAGCCGAGACAGCGAATGCGACGAGCCGTCGCCAGATGGGTTCAAGGCCTTGATGACATGCATATCCTTAGTGGACAGGCGATAAATTCACTATACACGCAAAAGCACATTATTACACAAAAAGGCTGATCTTAAATATGAGGTAGGAATCAGGCCAGTTTATTCCTGATGACGGATAGTTGGGCTTGTCAAAAATTAAAAGCACGAAATAAACTCTTTGCTAACAGTAACGCTACACAGGAACCCTACTTCAACTAGCAGCAGTATCGCTGAATCAATTCGAACATGAATCCTTCCTTCAAAGCCTATTTGCTGTTAACCGCCCTTCACTTTGCATCATTTTCTGGTTCTATTTGAACCCACTATCAGATACTCTTGAGGCAAAAAAAGACCTTGGAAAGTCAGGGTTACACCAAGGCACGAATAGATGAGTAGTTACTTTCAGAAGAAATTTCCAGAATATGTTATAAGCTATTACTATCATTAGTGCTAGTATCAAAACCCACTACGTTTGAACGTTTGCTCGCTTGCTTTATGTCCAGTTAGGGAAAGGTAATTTTTCGCAGTTTGAATTCAGCGCAGGCAATCGTATTCAGTGAGTTCCAGTTTTTAGGCGTGAATCAACAAAGAGCCTGCCAACTACAATGAATAGACTAAGAATAACAGCACTATCGGCATCTCTTTCCAAAAACCTTGAGGAATGGGTGCAAGAAAAATTTGCAATTCAAAATTTCCCCGACAAATTTATTTGTTCGAGTTATCTCATGGATGTTAACCTTAGTCCAGACTTCGGTAGAGAAAAACTAAGAATTTTGGATAGCACCACAATGGCTGATGGCCTAGAGCCTGGTGACGACCTGAAAGTGTGAAAATTGTCTGCTATTCGGAGTTTCTCACTCTCATAGTAGAGCATACTCGGCGATCCCGGGATCGGCTGTAACCGCACCAAAAGGCGGGATGACCTTCAAATTGGAGAAAACAATAAGAGGTGCGAACACATTCGTGATCGAATTTGAAAGCTGGGCATGAGTATTACGCACGTATGTTCCGGTGGTGAAGCTGGAGAGTCATCGTACATGCCACACGTATTTACGGAGCAAGCTGCATGAAATAACAAAAACTGTTTCACATGGAACCTGAGATCACATCGCATTTAAACTTTGCAGAACATTAAGTTTCAGTCACTATTGTTAAGAATGTTTGTAGTTGAGTTAGAAGGTATTTTCATTTTAACTAAGTTTTTGAGACGGAAATAAATGCAAAAGAGGCGGATAATTACAAAAAAACAGTGAGTGGTTATTGGAATGTACGGTTGGAGTCCCCCAAATAACTGCACCTCTCAAAGCAGGCACCTCCTACGATTCATACATCGGAGGCACTGGACGAGTCGTTTGCTGCTGTGAAAATGTTGACGTGGGTGATTTGGTTGGATCTTTCTCTTTTAATAATTTCGGCCTGGCATCAACGTGAAAACTTCAACATAAACAGCAGTAAAATAGAACTGCAGTACTTAGAAGGCGATAACTTAGTTGGCGGTCTTTTTACTGTGGGTAAACATAGACAAAAGTATACATTTAAAAAGTTGCCATATTTTTTAAGTTTTATGATACCTTGGATTTCTCATCGATCCAAAGAAGCGTTCACCAATCATCGCCTTTGCTGTTGCCCTTATGGCCTTGGAAAAGCGCCCAGTATTTACATTAGAAGCAGCCGGATCGGTGCCTCCACTTAAACCTGAAAATAATACCCGTCGTCCAGGCGAAGAGGGAGCAACGTTCCAGGAAAAATCCTCGACAAATAAAAAGGAGTTTGGCCCCTGAACTACAAGCAGCAAATTGCCGAACATAAAATATAAAGCACCTACAAAGAATATTCTTCGTCAAAAAGAGATCAAAGGAAAATGAGGAGATGGCATCGTTGTAGGTTTTCCTCCAAAGCACCGTGCAAGTTTGAGCATTCCATAATATAAGCTTATTATCTGAGTGCAGCACTGCTAACAAATCCCGAGAAATCTCCTGATCTGGCACCCATTGAATGGCTGAACAGCTAAATAAACGAAAAGGCCACCTTACCGCAGACAGAAGATCCCGGATCTGTACCTTCAGCCAAGGCAGACCCAGAAAGCACGTTCCATATGATTATTCTGCCCGACGAGTCTGCGCTAGCAAGTCTGTGAAGGTAAGGACTTTTTGCATCATGATAATAGTTTTCCGGCGCCCATTTTAACTGAAATGTTTCAAAATAGTAGGGATCATGAAAAAAATGCAACCGGTAGACAAGGAGATTTAAAATTATTCTCAAAACCAAAAGTGTACCAAAAGAACACTTTGATTCAGGCTTACAAACACTAACGATAGAAAACAGGTTTTAACTCTGTTTCGTTGCACTGTGCGGCCCACTTACATTCAACTGGGTTAAGTCACTGTAATTCCCAGCGTCCTATTAACATGGGCGCAAGATCAGTCAGTGGCTTACTTGAATGAAACACGATGGGAATATGATGAGAAAATCAAATCACGTAACTGCACACGTCTCGTCTGATCGAGTGGCCACCGTGAAGGCAATT